ACATCTTGGCTCTGGAAATTGTTACTGAATATGTCAATGCTGTTGTAATGAAATGCTTCTTCTAAGTATGTGGTTATTAAATAAATTTTTAAAATATTTTATTTTTTTATATTTTATTTATTATTTTTATTTTATGTGTATGAGTGTATTGCCTGCATGTATGTGAGTATACCCATGTCGTGCAATGCCACGGAGGTCAGAAGAGGGCTTCGGATTCCCCTGGAACAGGAGTTAACGACGGTTCATAGGCACTATGTGGGTGCTAGGAATCAAACCCGGGTCCTCTGCAAGAGCAGTCAGTACTCTTAACCACTGAACCATCTCTCCAGCCCCAGATACACACTTTTGTAATCAGTGACAATTTATTTTGGTCTTTTTGAGACAGGGTCTTCCTGTTCCAGCTGCCTAGAACTCACTATGTAGACCAGGCTGACCTTGAACTCACAGAGATCCACCTTCCTCTGCCACCCGAGTGCTGGGATTAAAGGCATGCGCCACCACACCCGGCTTCAGTGACAAATATTTTGAACATCTATTCCTGTCAGCAATACATTTATAATTCATACCACATAACTGTTGATGACAGCTTAATATTTCATCATATGTACCTGCTAGAATTAGTGTAGCAAGTCCCCTTTGTTCTTGATTTTTTTTCTCAGACGCAAAATACTTTTAATGGAACTCTTTTTTCTAAAGTTTTGCCTTCGTGTGTGTGTGTGTGTGTGTGTGTGTGTGTGTGTATGTGTATGTACCTGTGTGCCATAGCACCTATGTGGAAGTCAGAGGACCACTTGCAGGAGTCAGTTCTCTCCTTCTACCATATGGATTCTGGGGATCAAACTCAGGTTGTCAAGCTTGGCAACAACTGCCTTTACCTGTTCAGCCATCTCACCATCCCAGTAACAAAATCTTGAGCAAAATTGTGTGGTCCACTGTTGCAGCCAGGGTCCCTTTGACCTCCTCCCCGAGCGGGCAGGGGATAAGTAGGCGCTAAGTCAACAACACAGTCTCCGGGACACTAGGCAATGTGCAAGTGAGCTCGTTTATTGTGAACACAGGGTCTCCTTTATACCCCCTTCCCTCCTCCCATTGGTCCCTTATGTCCCGTTGGCGTCCTTCTATTGGAGCTGTGGATGTGTTGTTGGTTTCTAGCTGCCGGGGCAGATTTCCGGTCAGCGACTTCCTGCTCATCAACAGGAAGCAGGGTGTGCCTGCGCTGTTGGTCTCATGCCTAACCTCCTACAATCGCCCTTTTTGTTTTAAATTGTTGGCAGTCTCAGGGGAGGCAGTGGCTAACTGTCCACTCAGGTCTTAGGACATTTTTATGAAGCTGTGTCTGTCTTAGGTTGTTCTCCCTACACACGAGCCTTACCGGTCACTGGAGTGTGCATCTAGCCTCATGCCCATCCTGTCTTAGGTTGACTTATTGTGGGAGAATCTTACCTGTCATTGACCACCAGCTTTGACCTAGATGTCCTTCAGAGAGCATGAGATCTGCCAGAGTGGTGGGCTAGCTCTTAGGAGGTGGCATTTAGCCTGAAGCTTTATTTTGGTGAACCAAGCTTGGATACTTCAGTAGGGGGGCCCCTATCGGGATGTCATAGTCATGAGGATCTGTATGGTGGCTTTGTTGGCGGCGTTTTGTCTACGGATGTGCTGAAAAAGACACTTGAACAAGAGGATT